GAGTTGTAATTATACAAGATACAGCCATATAATCAGATATTCCAGTGATGTCATCGACTTCAATATTTGCTACTTTTTCACTATCAGATACAAAAATAAAATCAATTGAAGTTTGACTAACATTAAATTCCAATAGCATTTTTTGCCTCAGAAGATGGGGTGAATGCCAGAAAATTGAACGACATAGTGTTGCAAACTTCAACAAAACTAAAAATTTCAACCCTAAACCCTATTGGGCTGGTCGGTTTTAGAGGTGAACCAACAATTTCATAATAGTTTAGGTTACAATAAGAAAAACATATTTCCTTCAAGAACAAAATGAGTATTTTCATTTAATGATATACCACATTTGTCGAAATGATTGAGAACTAACTTCTTAGGCAATTATTCCATGTGTGATAGAAGTCATTGAATTTCCTCACATTATAAAAGAGTATGAAATTGATAATAATAGTGAACCTTACTGATAAGCATTTGAATATCAATGCGTTTAAATGAGTTTAGCTTATAAAAGCAATCGTGTGGCAGCTGCAATCATTAAAGTGAGGCGACTTGGTCACTTGTAAAGAATATCACAAAAAATCATTCAACAGAAAACACGATCCTAGAGAGCTTATCAAAGAAAAACCCAAACTTGACAGAACCAGAGATTCTAAACTTGGTAAACAATTCTTTTATTGAGGCATGCCCAGATACTGCTCAGGATGAGATGGATTATGATAAAGTCTAAGTATGCAACGTAAATTGTGTCAATATACAAAAAAGTGATAAAGGAGAGATCAAAAACTACAGACCAATTTCATTGCTATCCAATATACATGAAATATTTGAAACTATCATATATAACAGAATTGGAACTTTCTTGGACGAATATACAGTATTGTCCAATTGCCAGAGCGACTTTCGAAAAGGAAGAGGCACAATGCGGGCTATGTACTCAAGTCATTGATTAATAATCACAAAGCTCAGCAATACAAGAAATCAAGTGGAATTTCGGAAAACTCTAAAACAATTTAAGATGTTCAAACCGATTGCAGTATTACGATCGAAAAATGGGAAGCTTTTTACGACAGTATAGCCATCCCAAAACTTTCAACATGTACTTTTTTCACGACATTTCTTCTTCGACTCGACTATCTCAGTTTCTGAAATAAACAATTGCCTGCAGAGGTGCAAAAATGGCAGATCTCCTGGACGCGATGGAGTCACTTATGAATTTTTAAAATATTATCTTCCTCAAAAGTGGCTGCTTTACTTATGCACCCTGTTTAACAGGGTATTAGAAAGTGAAACTTTCCCTCTAGGTTGGTAAGAGACGGTAATGACGATGTTGCACAAAAAAGGGGCTAAAGATGACCCAGGAAATTACCGCGGAATTGCTCTAATAAATAACCCCGCTAAATTATTTACCCTCATTTCAATGTCAAGACTGTCCCATTGGTGCGAATCTAATAAAATCTTACCAGAATGCCAATCTGGGTTTATATCAGGTAGAGGTTGTATTGATAATGCTTTCATCTTGAACGCTATACTGCAAATTGATTTGAGACCAAAAGGTAGGAAAATATATACTGCTTTCCTAGACTTTAAACGAGCCTTTGACTCGGTATGTCATAGCCTTCTTTGGTTCAAACTATTCAGCTTAGGAATCAGTTCAAAACTCATCCGCGTTGTCGAAAACTTGTATGATGGTGCAACTATGTGTGTCAAAGTCAACAACAAATACAGTAAACCATATGACATCGCGGAAGGTGTTCTCCAGGGTGAATCCCTGAGCCCTTTGCTTTTCTCACTTTTCATCTCGGACATTAATGATTTTTTCATCTGTAAATGTGCAACAGAAGTCAATATTGAATAACATTATGCTGTTATTATACGCAGATGACCTAATCATCCTGAGCGACTCACAATCTGACCTAGCTAAAAATCCTCGAATTATATTCAGCTCAAAATAAACTGGTAGTTAATACACAGAAAACTAAAAAAATGATTTTTGCCAGGGAAGGCCACTTCAAGTCATATCAAACGAAATTTCATTACAACGGCGAGCCACTTGAAGTGGTAAAAAAAAATATCTAACCTAGGAATTGAATATTCGTCATCAGCCCGTTTCCTGGAGATGTCCAAATCGCATCAGCAAAGGGAAACCAAGCTATTGTATTGGTTATGAATTTGATGTGTCAATCAAAGATGACCAGCTGGGATTCGCCTATGAAATTATACGACTCTATAATACTGTCTTCTTTATCTCACGGTATCGGCCTCTGGGGATTACGGTATGAACATATTATAGAACGCAACCAAGTTGATTTTTTTCAAAAGATTCCTTTGTCTAGCCAAAACAACCCCAGACTACATAGTTCGTCTTGAAGCTTCTGTCGTTAAACTCAGTCTCAAAATTATGCATATAGCCATCTCCTGGATAAACCATATAAAAACTTTAGATAGCACCAGGCTCCCACAAATTTGTTTCCAAAGGCTTATAACTCTGGATAACGTTGATCCAAACTATAACTGGCTTCTGCAGATCAAAGATTATTTTGTAAAGGCAGGGCAAGCAGACAAATGGCAGACTTTTTTGAATAGTACCTCGAAACGGATGACTGAATCGATATTAAACGCAAAGCAAACTTCTAAGTGAGGACTTACAAAGATTGAGTCTATCCACATATCCCTATATTTTCCAAAGTCTGTCCCTACGAATAAATGCACAGAACTATCTAACCGATTCGCTTCCAATACATACAGTAAAAATTTCAGAACATGCAGCAAGAAATTTCTGAAATTTACGTTCGAATTACTTCATCAACACTGAAGAACTATACACAATATGCAACATGGAAAGAAGGGAGTCTCTATATCACATTCTATTCGAGTGTCCTATCTTAAACAATTTGTTTGTGTGATAATAAACATACTTAGGTTGAGATCATTCATAATCAACGAATAGGGCTAGAGAGTCCATGATAATTGCTCGACACTTGTCTTGCCGAGCTTATTAGGTTTGATTACATTCTGCTATATTCCTTTTCATCGTTCTTTTTCTCTCATTCAATCATATCTTTGAGTCAATGTATTATCCACTTCCAATATATTACGCCTTTCAATGTATTACCACTTGTAATGTATCACCACTTTCAATGTATTACCACTTTCAATGTATTACCACTTTTGAATGAAAAACCACTTGTGTGTAATAAATCATAAATTTACACCACCTCTGTCAAATATGCTTAAGCTTAAACCTTGTAATATGAATTATAATTCTTTTCAAATACAATAAATTATCTATCTATCTAATCGAAAAACAGCAGCATTGTACCTTGACCTGTCAAAAGCATTCGACAGCGTCGAACACACCATTCTGTGCAGGAAATGGGATCGTATGGGAATCAGAGGGGTGCCACTACTTCATATCAATTCATACCTCCAGAATAGAAAGCGACTTCAAATTGACTATGATGAGAACGGTATTCTTATCAAATCCGAAATCAAAATAGTAAAAAAAGGCGTACGACAGGGTTCAATTATCTGTCCTCATTCTATACGTGAACGAACTGCCTCAAATAGTAGAAGAAGAAATGATTTTGTATGCAGATGATCTCTGTGATTCTCAGCGAAACAACATCTGACTTATGTACAGGAAAAATTAACATATCTCTGAATACTTTAGAAACTTGGTTCACTAACAACAATCTTCTTTCAAATATTGAAAAAAAAACAGCTAATATATTATTCTTGCCAACAATCAAACAGCAATTTGACATACAAAAATGAATATATTGTATCTAAATCATCAGTAACATTCCTAGGTGTAAGCGTTGATCAGAGGTTGGACCAAATTGCGCAAACGTCTAGTAGTTTATCAAAGTATAGCTATGCCCAGAAAATTATTTCATCAGATATTGATAAAAATACTGCACTAATGGCATATTATGTCTATGTACAGTCACGAATTAGCTATGGAATAATCTTCTGGGGAAACTCAGTCCACTCTCGACGAATTTTAATTCTACAAAAGAGATGTATCAGAAATATATTTAGTTTAAATTGCAGAGATAGTTGCAAAAATTATTTTATTGAAAATAAAATATTAACTACAATATGTATATACATCCTAGAAGCAAAAATGATCATCAAAAAAAACTATGATCTTTTTGAAGCCAGCACACTGGACCATACTTATGATACAATAACAATACACTACATTCTGTTTTACCACTAACCAAACCGATTTTTTACACTTCGACATGTGTTTTGCTAACTATGTTAGCATCTTCAGGAGAAAATTAAAACTCTAAAATATAAAAATGGCTAGCTCCAAAATCATATGATGAAGAACTTGCAAATTGGTGAACAAGTGAGATAAATGATTTTGTCATTTTTCGAAATATCAAAATGTGGCCAGTGCCGTACTCCAAAGAAGGCACATTAATTTTTATCAATGAGAACGCGGAATACCTTACTTTCCGTATATTGATTGAATTGGTACATGTTTTCCATGCACATCTACTATACTACTTTGCCCTATCACGCCCTCTCCCGGCAACGGTGCATTTTCGTATAGAGGTAAGTTGATTTCAATCGGCCTATTTAGGTCTCTAGTTCATCCTGTAGGATTTATGGAACGTTGTTCTGGGATACCTTGTATTATGCAATATCATCACTTGCCTTGCAAGAGCATAGATGCCTTTGGTTGTTGCAGCAAGACATGATGCATCAGATGTGGACGAAGCATTATGCATAGTAAATCGGTAAATGAAACACTTTTCATGGGATAGCTGACGAAACGAAACGGGTTCACTACGACTACAAGTCAAATTGACATGCACCTTGACATGCACCTTGACATGCACCTTGACATGTACATAATGACAATTATAAAGTTATTAGTGAGTGGACAAATTTCTGTTTTCAGAGATATTTTATTTCATTTGCTTAACTAAAACTAGAAAGAGAGAGGAAAGTCTCTCAGGATACTACATAAACTATATACTTACTATTCCCGTACATCTTCAGGAACTTCAATCTCGAATTTGAGGAAAGTTGTTTTATCTATTGGCGGATTGTTATTTTTTACTCTCAAGCGATCACTGCTCACGATTTCTGTGTATGTTGTATCCCAACCAACATATTCTAACACATAAAATTCGCCTTTCATCATCTGGAACAAAAAAGTCAATAAGGTTGAATATCTTTTATCCGGAAAACACACTATTGGAATGCCTAATCAATTCAGAAGACTGAAATTCCTTCAAAATTCTTGCCTCACAATAGACTTATTTCTTTATTTTTGTTCCTTTTTTACACTACCAAATTTAATAATTCCATATATCTTGTATACATATAAAATGATGATGAATTTAAACTCAATGTATAATCACTGTGTAACACAGGCTGAAGGACCTCGGTCGGTGGCCTTTTGGGTATCCAATACAGTTCCTTAATTATTATTTATTCTGATTATTTGAATGAATAAATTCAGGTAACAAAGTATTTCATACAGGGTATTCATTTCAGGACTTCCCACCCTAATTTTCTCAAAATGTGTGTATATTTTTGAAACATACCAAGACAAGTCAACACATGAACATGAAAATGAACGCGCCCCTTTTCATCCTCTGCAAGGGGGAGCTGCCAACTGTAAAATCTCAATTTTGAAGGTCTTTATAATTACTACACGTCGGTGTTTCTTTTTTTCAAAATTGATCGATCCGTTGTCAAGATATGTAGGAAAATACTCTTTATTCTCATTCCTTTTTCTTTATACCTAAATTACAATATTGTAACTACTGTCACTTCAATAATTGTTCAATATATATGTGGCTCACATTTTCAAACACTTCTGGTCGAAGTGCTTGATATTCTGCAGTAATCCTTTGTTGAAGTTGAAGCCCTTGTAAATTTTGCAGCGGAAGTGTGTAAACAACTGATTTTAAATGTCCCCATAGAAATAAAGCACATGATGCTAAATCCGGAGAACTGGCTAGCCACTCTATAGGTCCTCTTTGCCCTGTACCATTCACCGGAAAATACGTTGTGTAACCATTGACGGACCGGAAGCATATAATGGGGGGGAAATCCATCTAGTGAAAATGTAACTTATTTTCGTCAAGGAAGGTGTTTCCATCCCTACCTAGTTGATTTCAGAGTGATTCAGGAATTAGCGGATGGATTGTATTTTTTAGCATGGCCATACATTCAACTTTTGAGGATACTGGGTATGCCCCTCGACAAAATGGTCATTTTCATTGCTCCAATATCTGCAATTATGCTTATTGACAAATCCATTCAAATAAAAAAAACTCATCAAAGAAGCTGATCTTTTTTAAAAATTCGATATTGTTATCAATTATTGTTGTCATTTGTAATACGTAACGAAGCATTAGGACTCATACCAAAATAACTCAACACTTCAATTTGAGTGGCTTCAAAGCTCTTGACTGTTCATGTTTTAAATTTGCAACAGATCCTGTCTTAGTAAATTTGACGATCAGATTGAGGACATACCGATGAGAGGTGTTCTTATCTAGGTGCCTTTCGTTAAATATTGCTGCAGTTCATCGAGCACATCCTTTTTCGGCGCCGTAAATAAACAAACACGATTTCGAGTTTTTCAGATACAGTGTAAACCATTTTCACTACAGTGCTTTATCACACAACTATCACACAACTGGTAACTATGATTAATAATTCAATATGTCTTTTATTTTCTGCAACAAGTACACTTTTTTGCATGCCTTTCGAGCTCAATTAGAAGTGAATAGAAGAAAGAACAGTTACTTCATTTCAATGGTACACAGCAGCAAACATATTTCCTAAATATCTCGACAAAATGCAGTATGACCAATTCGCATTTAAGATTCTGAAGTTGGTAGCATCCCTTTGCAAGGGATGAAAGGAGGCGCGTTAAGGGAAGGGGGGACTTTCTACGTACTGTACTGTATATCTGAGCAATGCATTTTTGAATTAGTGCGAAATCAGCCACGACTGCGCCATTCATTCAAGTCACGCACCAATGGTCGTCTATTAAAAATTTAATACTCTTGGCTGGCCATGAAATTACTGAAGCCTCCAAAATATGTCCGTGAATGGAACAATGTTCCATGAATATAAATAGGATAGGAGTTTTTTCTATGAATGTGTTCCTCTGATTGTACTTGACAATCTGTATATCTCACAATAATTTCTTGCGCAAGAACTAACCCCACAGGACCACTTTTTGGAAATTTCGTAATAAAATCATGACGTTATCAAAATACACGTGGGTGGTAGTTTTTCTCTATGAATGGGTTCCTCTGATGATACTTGATAATTTGTATTTATATCTCACAATATTTTGTCAGTTAAGGATTAACCCCACACAGGACCCCATTTCGGCAATTTCGAAAACAAATCATAATTTTTTCCAAAAACACGTGGATTGAAGTTTTTTTTCTCTGTGTTCCTCTGCTGGTACTTGATAACAAACCTCTCCTAATGTATATACCACAACACGTAAAACACGTAACTCACATATTCCTATGTATATTTATATGGGCAAACTAGTATTGCTAACATGAAAATTATTTCAAATGATCTACAATGAGTGATTGAAACCAAGTCAGGTATACAAATTTCACTAGTGTATATTATCAAGTATTTCATTTTAATAAAATCTACCATGCATGATGTGAAAAACTTTGGCCATACATATTAACATCATTTTGTGAAATTTGGAAATCAACCAAATGTACTTTTGGTGAGTTTTTAGTTAAAAATCATAATCAATTTTTGATGCGATTATTTAGATAGTACATAAAATTCCAAGGAAAATTATCCCCTTGTTTGGAAACTTTATTGACTGGCTGGCAATAGTTTAATATGGCAAATCTGTTCATTTTGGTGACCCTATATTTCCCCAAACTGAAACATACAGGATAACCCGAATAGAAATTAAGTTAATTTTGCATTGAATTCTGAGAGTTTCATGTAATATGTCCCTTAACAACTAACGAAAAAATTACGATCGTACAACAGTTATCGATTTTACATATACTGAGGATTGAATGATGTAAAGAGCAAAATATTCCATTGTGTGTTCATTCAGATATTTTTTCTATGTTGGTATTTCTGAATGTTACTTGTCACCGTGTAATCTCACAAAATGCAGTTGCCAAGTCAATTGATTTGTTGTTCAATCATAACAGGTTTTACTCATTGATATGTTTAATCGCATACTTTCGATCGAAAATATGAAGTTGATGATGGTGACTTTTTATGGGTTACCCTGTATATATAAATTCACATCAGAAAAATCCAGCCGTGAATAAAAATCTACGAGTTTAAGCCTTTTTTTCAAAAATCAACCCATTTCCCGATTTTGACGAAAGAATCGTAATCTCCGACCCTGAAAATTCTCAGATACAAATTTCAAATAGAATCGGATCATTATTACAAAACTGGTCCGCCATATTCGAGCCGCCAATTTGAATTTTTCAATTTTGACAAAAGAATCATACCTGCCTATCCCAAAAGCAATTTTGAATAGAATCAGATCATGGTTACAAAACTCATCCAACATTTTGATTTTTCTCTAAAAAAAATGGCATGATGCATTGTCACCTGCTTGTACATCTGCCAAATTTCAAGTCAATTGGACGATTAGACGTGTGTCATATTTAACTTGCAAGATTTGATTAGAGACAGATAGACAGATAGATAGACAGATAGATAAACAGATAGATCGACAGATAGATACACAGATAAATGGACAGATAGATAGACAAATAGTGATTCACACGAGACCAACGAGACGAGACTTTCATGAAGTCTCGTCTCGCCGATAAAATATGAAGTCTTGTCTCGAGTCTCGTCTCGCAGCTTCGAGTCTCGTCTTGTCTCGCGTCTCGTACGAGTCTCGCAAATGTATCGCAATTTCGTCATGCATAATCTTGTTCCAGTCTAGTACGAGATATTTACCTTTACCTACTTTTTAGGTATAATGTAGAAGTAGGAAGAGAGAATTACAATATAAATAACATTATTTATTGAAAAGGAAGTACCTAATAGGTACATACCTACATCATTCATCCAAACAAGAAAAAAACAACACGTATATACTAAACAAATAAACAAGACAAAAACTGTAATCCAACATTATTCCGCCGTAAGAGAGAGAATAGTCCGTTTTCGTTTCACGCATTACGTCGTTTTACAACAATCATGGATTGTGTTTCTAAAGTATTTATGAATGAAATGTTTTGTCTATCTGTGCGAAATTGTCTGAATTCTTTGTGTTGTATTATTTATTTATTTATTTATTTATTTAATAAACGGATTCACCATTACAATAGTTAATTATTACAGATTGACAAGATGGCATAAGAACAATAATATAGCATTGATATTGATTGAAATTTCAAATTTGAACTATATGGTTTGGTTTGAAGGATACAAAACAAAATTCCTGTATTAACCAACCTTTAGAAATTAACACTAAAGTATAGATTAATTGTGGATCGAGCCAGGATCAACTATACAAATTTTATTTTTAAAATCAGTTAAGGAATGGACAAATGGATCAATGTTTAATATGTTGAAATTACGCAAAATACGTGACAATGGGCTGAAGAACCCATAATTAGTTCTATGAGTTTTTATAGTAAAAAGATCAGTGTTTCTAGTGAAATATGATGGAACATTGAAGTTTATCATATTGAGAAGATCGCAACAATCAATCACACCTGAGATAATCTTGAACATGGTGATACTATCGAGCCGAAAGCGTCTGATAGATAGGTTGGTTAAGTTTAGGGCATTGAGAGTATCTGTATAATTGAAATTGTTGTAAGTTCCCATTTTATAAGAAATGTGCTTGGCAAATCTCATTTGGACTTGTTCAATTAGTGTGATATCACAGTTATAATGTGGCGACCAGATTATGCAACCATAGTCTAATAAGGAACGTACAAGAGAGCAGTATAAAGTATTAACTGTGTTACAAGAAAAATGTTTTGTATTACGCATTAGAAAACCTACCATTTTATTAGCAGATGCTGATACTTTCAGTAGTTGACTCTTGAAGGTGAGACGCTCATCAAAGATGATTCCAAGATCTTTAATTTCAGTTACTTTTTCAAGGATCGTATTGTTAATATTGTAGTTATATGAGGAAGCATTAAA